TTCGTAAATGCAGAATTGGAGGCATTACTTAATGAGGACTCGAGTCAAAGTCAAGAAGAATTGGCACTATCATTGGGAGTGACTCAACAAGCAATTTCAAAACGCCTCAAAGACATGGGAATGATTCAGAAGCAAGGAAATTGGGTGCCGTACGAGTTGAAACCGAGAGATGTTGAACGGCGTTTGTTTGCTTGTGAACAGTTGTTTGAAAGGCAAAGACGGAAGGGATTTCTGCATCGCATTGTGACTGGGGACGAAAAATGGGTTCATTACGATAACCCCAAGCGCAGAAAATCATGGGGATATCCCGGCCATGCTTCCACGTCGACGGCCAAACCGAATATTCACGGCTCCAAGGTCATGCTCTGTATTTGGTGGGACCAGCTCGGCGTAGTGTATTATGAGCTGTTAAAACCGATTGAAACAATCACAGGCGATCGTTATCGAACGCAATTAATGTGTTTGAGCCGAGCATTAAAAGACAAACGGCCGCAATACAACGAGAGACACGATAAAGTGATTTTGCAGCATGACAATGCTCGACCCCATGTTGCGAAAATGGTCAAGACATGCTTGGAAACGTTGAAATGGGAAGTCCTACCACACACGCCGTATTCTCCAGACGTTGCTCCCTCTGACTATCACTTGTTTCGATCAATGGCACACAGCCTGGTTGACCAGCACTTCCGGTCTTATGAAGAAGTAAGAAATTGGATTGATTCGTGGATCGCTTCAAAAGATGACCAGTTTTTTCAACGCGGGATTAGTACGCTGCCCGAAAGATGGGAGAAAGTAGTGGCCAGCGATGGACAATACTTTGAATCATAAATTTATGACCAGTTTTTTACAATAAAGCCTCGAATTTCGGAAAAAAACGGCGGAAGCAAAGTTGTACACCTAATATTTGAAGATCAGGTAGTAAATAATCTCATTATCGTTTAGTTATATATTTATTTACAATATTATAAGTAAAATAAAAGTGGAACAAGGTGAAAATATGAAAATATGAAATCTTTAACCATGCATTCCGACTAAAATTCGATCCTTTCTTCCACCCGTGCCCATATTTAAACAAATATCATAGTTTCATTTTGTGATCCACCCTCGAGACAGGATTACTTCCAACAAAATCAACAGCAAAGGAACAACTCAGTACATTTCACAACAATATGATTACACAACCAACGTAAAGCGCTCCTCCTCACAGTAATGAAGCACTTTCAGACCCCATCGTGACAATTCCACAACCGAGCAGTACATTCATAATTATTTATGTGATATGTACATTTCTTCCTCCAAGAAGGATCCAGGTACATTGGTTTCCATTCATTATCAGCCACAAAGTTTGATCAGGATGTATTAACATCTCCCACAACTCAATGTCACACAGTGATTACATCCTTGATTGTAAACTAAACACAATGTAACAGAGGCAGCAATGACAATAATAATGGGTTACTCCACACTACTCTTATCTCATAAAAGATCATATGGAGACAGCATATAAGTATACATATACGGCTCGGGACAAGTCTGCATATTTAAATGCACTCAAGTACAAAGCCGCATATTCAGTCCACATGGAACATTAACAGCATTACCGCTTGTACATTTACGCTCTCTTCGAATTTCGCTCAGGGTTCATATAACACTTCCAAAACTAATCGGCCTCAATAGTACAACAATAATTGCGCCACAGAAATCTCACGCAGCAGATCCGCCTCAACATCAGAGTCAAACTGTCGTCGCATTAACAATCAGAAGACCCTGCCGGTTCAAACTTTCACCATCTTTGACTGAGCATATCACAATAGTATAGTAGTGTATTAGCACTATCCGACAGCATCTATGAAATCCGCTCTTGTATGCAGTCCATGCTTCGATAGTCATCGCATACCTCAAATTGATAATTACAACAAATACTCCATAGCGGAGCCTCAAAGAGGGTCGATTGACTCCATCATCATGTCACCACGAAATAGGCAATCCGCATTAATAGTGCAATTACAGACAAGCCAGAGTTACTCTACCCAAATGAGCCAAGCAGCAATTATTACTTTTACTTTTTTTAAGCATCGAGAAGATCAGTCCCAAAATCAGAATCACAATAGGCAGTATGATCAATACATACTACTGCTGAAGCACGTAATATAATAAAATAAAATAAAATACAATCAATCCCTCCTATAAAAGATCCAAGTATATTAACCCTGGTTTTCCATCCTTAGCTCGATCTGTTATCAACCACAAAATTCGGTCAAGAATGATAACATCTCCCACAAATGATGTTATCTAATAGTTTGCGCACTTAGTTGTGGATTAACCATGACACAATAACAATGGTAATAACAATACTTGATTGCGAAATAGCATTCTAGAAAACTCTCATCCTAGCATATTCAAGTCAGTCCGAATAGACAGATATATATATTGTGACGTGACGTTTTTGGGACGTCCGTCACAAGGGTCGAATGACCCGATCGGGGGCGGTTTTTCTGGGGCCTGCGTCTTCTCTATTTAGGGAGAGAGCGGCCCAAGCGTCAGATCGACAAGATCTGACTTTTGTTAGTAATAGTTATCGGAAATGTAAGCTCGAGATGAGCCCGCGAGTTGGTTGTCGGCACGAGATCGAGCGGCGGGATCCCATCCGGCGGAAGAAAAGGAAGAGGAAAGAGCGACGGCCGAGAGCGGGAGTCCAGGACAACCAGGAAACAAGAGACGTCAGGTCGTAATTGTCTAACATTAAAAACCTTTTTGATGGCTGATAAACATCGCTGCCGGTAAATTTATATTTCTTATGGCAAGAAAGGAGCGCGGAGGGCCGGAATAATCCAGCCAAAGAGGCGGCCACTCCACCCGCACGAAGCGAGGGAGTCCTAAGGACGCAGCGGCGAGCGGACTCTCAATTCGGAACCTATTCAACCAAATAGGAAAGAGAGCCGATCGGGCGCAGCCGTAAGCCCGCACCTTTAAGCCGGACAACAGGAAATTTTGGGAAACTCCGGGGCGATGAACCCACATGCACGGCCGTGATGACAACTAGGATCGCGAGGATCACAGGACGGCCCTGCGTAACGCGAAAGCGCCACAGGTGGCACGATAGCGATTTATCGCGCCGGCGTGTCTCCTGCAGGACTCTCGCTCCGCACTGTTCGGCGAGCGATCCGATAGAACGCAGGTCTCAGGAAGCGCGAGCGATATCGAGACGGAAATTGCGAACGAAAAATTCGAGGGCTTCCAGCCGGTGGGACGAGTGTCGCCAGCCCGATTTTGTTGCCGATTACTTGTAGGTAATTAGTTCGGATGAGTCGCGCCCTAAATAGTTGTCGAGCCACGCGTTTGGTGAATTAATTTTTGTGAAAATTTTGGTAGATTGCGTCGTACGGCCGACGGGCTTTCGTCACTCATCCGAATTATATCAGATAAGGCCTCTCTCTATTCATTTCGCCGCCGCCAACATTCATTCGTGTTAGCATTGTAATTTTGTATATTGTGCAGAGTATTAGCGATCGGAATTAATTGTCTTGCGTTGATCGCGTAAAATATTGCGCCACGCTCCGTACACCACATTCGCGTCCAGTAGTTTTCGTCACTGCGTTTGTTCACGCGGTTTTAAACTACTTAAGTGCAGCGGGTTGAGACAGATTAAATTTCGAGAAATGTTTAAACTATATATTGTAGAGTTCTGAGCCGCCGATGATTCCCCGAGTCTCGAAAATTATACCTTGTAAATCCCAACGCCAAGGTCGTCGCTATTGTTATCGCAACTTATATCGACTCTCCGCGGGCCTGGTTATAGAAATTATTTGAGTCATCTGGCAAGGAAATATTTATTGTATTCAAGCGGATTCCCGATCGCGTACAAAGTGATTACCGGCGCATTCGAAACCTTTCTTTAGTTGTCGTGGCCTAAATCAGTCACGAACGGCAGAAATTCTCGCGATTGAAAAATCGAGTTCGCATCGCGTTAAACGCCCGGTAATTGAATACTCTTGTGCCCGGTCGCGCCGATCTCCGCGGGATCATTGCGGTCTCACCTTTCGCATCGAATATTGTTCTCTATTCTTATTTAAAATACAGTTGTTATTGTTACTTAAATATTGAAAGCTTTATTTTAGCTCCCGTGTTCTCGATTCTCTGCTTTTTCCCGTTCCCCGAGCCACCCCCTCTACCCCATGGGAATACTGTCTAGCCGCGCAGTCTGCCGTCGCGTTAATTATCGGTTCCGCTAATTTTTCTCGTGTTTGCTGTCGTCTTACGTGGTGCGGCCTGCCGTACCTGGCGCCCAACTCGGTTTTTTTTGGTGATATACGGACTTTTTCGGGATATCGGGACCGATATTCGAGATACGCGCCGAAGGTGTGCCGTGGGCACCGAGAACCGCCCGCCGAATAAGTAATTATTATTCAAATAATTAACAAAAGAAATTACGGTTACAATCTATATAAATATACGGTACGGCATAACATGAACACTTCTCGTAACTCATCGACCTCGTAGTATAATAAGTTGTATTATAAAATCTCAGCTTATTTTACAAAATCTAAATATAATCGATGTAAATCAAATACATATTCCGTTTTGTTTCCTGCAATTCTATCCAGTGTTTAACATTTGCGGATGAGCCTCGGAATCTGAGAATCCAAGTATCATTGCACACGCATGATTCTCCCAACAATATAATCTCCAACTACAGTGTGAACTTAGTGAACAGTATAATTACAAATATTTTCAAAGTAATATACATAGTATAATATGCAATACATAATCATATAACTATGCATTATACCCTATGGTGTTTATCTCTAGTCACTAGTTACTATTTACAGTTTCAGACTCAAACGAGAATCGCCAAATGACTGAGTGCAAATCCCTACAC